TATAAATATATTATAAACAGCAACTATCAGTATATCTGTCTGTATATCTGTAATTCTAATGTTAACTTTAGTTAACATATTTAAAACTTCTCCCTTAGATATGAATTCTTGGCACTGCGTTTTCTTGTGCTTGCCTCGAGTTGTAATCAATTTCGGCACACATCTGACCAAAATGGCCGTCAATGATTTGTTGCTGTTGTCGTTGTTGTTGTTGATTTGGCCACATTGCACATTTCGGTTGGCCGAAAGTTAAAAGTCAAATGTGAGCTTGAATTACCAACAGTCGCAGCAGCAGCATTGGGAAGACAAAATGCGAATTCTTGGGGATTTATGAGCGGGCATGCAAAAAATAAGAAACCGGCTTAGGCAAGGGTCTGGGCCAGAGCCGGAGCCAGAGGAGAGGAGAGAGAGAGAGCCGAGTGCTGGCTGCGTCTCAGGCTTTTGGGGCCTAGGGCGACGTCTAACCAAATACGAGTCAGGCGGCAAGTCAAGTGGCATGCAATACTATTCTTTTTTTTTTTTTTGGCTAGCCAAGCTAAATGCAGCTTATACCCAAGCACACACACACACATACAATTTTATTTTATTTTGGCCAAATATGGCGATCGCATGCTGCGGCCATGTGGCAGGCAAACGGCACAGATACTTTACGGACTTCGACTTGGACTTTTGGACTCAGGTTGGAGACGCAGTTAAATGCTGCCGCTGCCGCTGCCACTGCTGCTGCTGCCAGTTTTGGCCAATTTTTGCACTTGCGCAAAAGGTCTTAAGACAGGTTACGCGCCTGCGGCGATTTAACCGTTTTCATGCAACAAATACCAGCAACAACAACAACTGTTCGTGCCGCCTGGCTTTATTGGCCTCGCTGCGGTCACGCCAACGCCAGCGAACAATTTTGGGCAACAAAAATAGAAAAAAAAGGGTCAGACGGCAGCGGCGCACATTTGGCCAACCATTAGAAAGCAATCCGTCAGTGCGGTTAGTTTTAGGCCAGGCCAACAAGAGTCGCTGCTGTCGCTGCTGTGGCTGCTGTTGCTGCTGCCGCACAATGGGCCCTCGTCCACACCCACACACGGTCTGACTGACTGACATGCCACTGCAACCGGTTGAGTTGGACTCCGTTTGGCTTGGCTCGGTCCGGCGGCCCAAAATGAGAGTTCTCCTTGACTTTATTACGAATCACGAGCCAAAGCCAAAGACAGAACAATGCCAAAAAGGAGCTGCCGCCTGACCCAAAAGCACGCCAACGCAACTCGACACCAAAGCAAAGAAAACAAATCATGCTGCGCTGCGCTAGACCAGATATCGACCAGACTAGCATATACCCTGTAAATAGCTAAGGCAGCCTATGTGCCTGAAACTGTGGCTATATTCATAACTATGTCAGTTAGCCTGTGTAGTCATATATTTATAATTACAAATTGCCGTACAGCCTTTCTCAGCGCTTCTCAGATTTGCTAAAAATGCCTCAATTGAAAGTGTATGCTATTGAAATCAATGTAAGATTGTTATAGCTACTTGCTTTCTTCGATAGAACGATTTAGTTGCGGCTGCTAGCCTCAAATATTATATTTGATATCTTGGCGATATTTATCGAATTATGTCATGCATTAAGAGTATATAAAAAACTCTTTGTTCTTATAAATTACTTCATTGTCAAATCTCTTTAAAGTCTACATACTTAAGAGAGTCTCAAAAAGTGTTTCAATTAGCGATAGCAGTCCCCTATTTCGATTTTTATCGACTTAGAGTAAACTCAAATCCAGTCTTCATAGTCAAAAGTCTCTCGAACATAGCTTCATATATACATATATTATTTTGGAGTTAACACCATAGTTTTTTTTCGGAATAAATATATCGATATTTATCGACTTAAAGTAAGCTCTCTTCAATATTGAAGTGTCCATAGTTAAAAGACTCTGGAACAGGGTATCAAAAGCTCTAAACATTTACGTAAATTGATATATCGACTTAATCTCATGTCCCTAGAGAGATCCCCATAGTTTCAAGTCTCTCCAAAGGGCTTTACTGTTATGTCTATACATATTTATAACGATATTTATCGAGCAATTGAACTCGAATTCATATTTAAGTAATGACAGCTAACAGTATCTCAGCTGGTCTATCAAAGCGCCTTAACACTTATATCGATATTTATCGATTTATGGACATGTGCTGCTTTGCTTACACTCCCAAACTATTCGCTTCTCTTATATTTCCAGCCCGTCCAGGGTATTGCTTAAAAAGGTTTTTGCGCCACGCAGCAGACGCTACGATTATGACTAATGCTTGGCATTTGGCTTATATATTTCTTGTGGCTTTTGGTCAGTTGTAACAAGAGTTGCAACAACAAGTTGCACAGATAACGCGATCATTTTTGGCAGCGTGGGCAGCTAACGGCCATTAGAGCTGCCAGCGGGCAAGCAGGTGACAGCGAGGCGCAAACATGCCTAAAAGTAGCTGACAGATGCGCACTGCACGGCCCACATGTGCACCGAGTAGATACATTTGTATCTGAGCCAGTGTGTGCGCACTGCGCAGATACATTTGTATCTTGGCTGCTATGCTCGAGCTTGTTTGGTTTGCTTCTCCTGCTGATAAATTTGGCTGCTGACATCATGCAACTCCACAGATTTGCATGGCTTCTGCTGAGCATTTGGTTATTGAGTGTTCAGCTATGTTTTCCGCTTCTTTTCTGCTTAATTAATTTGTAGCCGAGCTGTTTAATGGCTTTATTAGCAGTCGAATGGCTGCCCACGCGGCTGATCGAGAGGCAGCTGCAGAAGATGCATTTCAAATATTACGTATACGCAATATTGCAGCGCCGCAAACGTGGCCCAAAGACATGCAAATTATATGCAGCTTAAACGAAATTTTATCTGAGCGCATTAAAGTTGATGGCATACAAAATTACAGCTATTATTTGGCCAGCAATTATATCGCTGGGGCGTCCACTTTATTATGCATTTTTATGACAATTTTGCGCTTTACTTTTTTTTTTCAAGCCATCCCCGCACACACCCTCAGCCTCATGCTCGTTAAATGTTTTGCTCCTGCTGCTTTTTTTTTTTTTGCTTTGTTTCTGTTATTTCTGTTGCTGCTATTGTGGTGGCCTTCAGGCCATTTTTTGTGGCTTTATTTGCCACTTGTTGTTGCTTCCCCTTTTTTAAGCCCTTCATTGTTGCGGTCAATGTTTGGACATGAGGCGGAAGCCAAAGCGGAATGTTCAAAGCACACCAAAAAGAAATCCCCTTAAACTCGGATAGTGTGAAATTTATATAGTTTATTCCGTGTTTTCACTTGTGAAAAATATTCAAACAATGTAGCTGGAAATGTGGAATGATTTAAGACTAGGAGAGTTTTATTTAATTTGTAGTAATTTATTAAATTGCATACAATTTGATATACATAGATGCAACTGGGAAGGTTTTCATAGGGTTTTATGCGATTTTAAATTAAATTTCCATATAAGGCAGTCAGTTCAACTGCATGTTAAATATTTATATACATATACATATACATATATACATATACATATATATGTGTATTTTATTTTACCTGATTTTCCAAAAGAATTTCAGTATATTTAGAGTTTATTTTAGCTAAGTTAGACGTTTCACACCTCAAATGGACTTACCTAAAAATAGAAAAATATTTGTATTAGTTAAATGCGACAAGAAATTGTTTTGGAAAAAACAAAAGATTCTATTCAATAAAACATAATATGGCTATGATAAAATCAAGGAAATAATACTGATAATGAGCTAATGTGTTCGATGCATATCTTTGTACAGTCACGCTAAAGTATGTGTTGATGCATTGCATTTTGTTTTATAATAATATTAAGTTCAATTTATTTCAATTATATTAGTCAATACGAATGCAGACTTATATTAGTTCTATAGATTATATTTATTCAGTTAATTTTTTTTTAGGATTTTGCTACTTACAGCTAAGCTACATATCTATTTATCTATTTGCTCGACAATCACGAGTTCTTCAACTACTTAGGACTACTGTACCAGGTGTGACGTTTACGCCCTGGTTTATTAGTTGCGTTTTAAAGCTGTGCAAATTACAAAATCTCTGGCAATTCTATTTGCCAGTGCCAGTTCGAACAGCAGCCTCTAGCATCCATAACTGGCAGCAACATGCAACTACAGGTATAATATACATTATATTATTTTATTTCTATCATAAATCTAGTGTTTTTATAGAGTTAAGCAAATGCAAATGAGCAATATCTCCAGGCATTTTGTGTGGATATCAAATAAAATTTCGAATATAATAGTTTTCAGTTGTGAATTTTGCAATGGGCCTTATCCAGTTGCTTGGCGTGGTTCAATTTAAAAAAAAATGTTCCTATTTCATTAGTCAGAGAGTTTTTAAATTAAATTAAATTACCCTATCTTTGGACATACGAGAACTCGCAAATGATTGACACCTCTAAAAGTCTAATTACAGGCCAAGTCTTCACGCGATTTAGCCTGAACACCTCAGCAGCTGTTGCCTTCCTTCAGTTGCCTTTCGATTTGGCATAAAAGCTCAAACCTTCTGAGGCATTTCTCAGTATCAATTGCAATGCCAGGTGTATTCAAGCTAATTCATCCGGCTCCGCTTTCAGTGCGTATGTCTTCCGGAACGAGTTGCACTTATTTGTATCGCGTTATGTACGCTATTGGCTGGATTCCGCCCAAGCAGGGCCCCCGGCGATATTTGTATCTGTGCTGGTTGAGCTTCGTATTTGTTGTTGCGGCCATTTATTTGCCAACTGGGCTAGGCCTGAGCGTCTTCATTGACGCCAAGCAGTTTACGCCCGGAGAATTTCTGAAGGTTCTGCAAATGTTTTTCAACCTAATTGGATCCTCGTTAAAACGGTTCGCGATGTTGAGTCACCTGAGCTGTTTGCACGAGACCAAAAGCGACATGAATACCCTGGACAAGCAGGTGCACAGCGATGCTGATCGGCGGAAGATTCACGCGGCTGTTGCACGATCCAATTGTATATTCTTATTGTACTCTAAACTTTATGCAATCTACACAATGTCAGATGGCATAACTGGAATGGTTAATCGGCAGCCAGCTTGGATAATGTACAATCCAATCATCGATTGGCGCAACGGGATGTGGAGCTTATTGGTACAGTCCGTTATCGAGGTGATAGTCATGAGTTTGATGGCCTGTGCGATACTGTCCATGGACACCTTTACCATTGTCTTTATCAATATCTTTCGAGCTCACCTCGATGTGCTGAAAGGACGCGTACGCGAATTGCGCCAGGATTTGCTCATGACAGATGCCGAGGACTACAAGCAGCTCGTGGGCTGCATTCCCTATCATCAGTCGATATTGTAGTAGGTAACACCAAATAATCATTCAGCATTTCCTATTCTCTATTTTACTATCTACTCCTCAGCTGCTGTCGCTTGATACGCCCTATTATGTCGCTCACCATCTTCATACAGTTTCTTTTTATTGGCATTATCCTGGGCCTAAATTTGGTCAACATTTTGTATTTCTCCGACCTTTTTCGTGGACTATCTTCGGTAATATTCGTCTGCGCCATTTTGGTTCAGACATTTCCATTTTGTTACTATTGCGATTTGCTCTCCAGCGATTGCACTGACTTGGCCAATCTATTGGCCCAATCGAACTGGTTCGATGCGAGCATCAAATATAAATCGACCCTGAGAATCTTCTTGCTACATGCCCAACAGCCCATCGAATTTATTGCTGGCGGCGTGTTTCCCATCTCGTTGAAGAGCAATGTTCAGGTGAGTAAGAATATGGAGAGCTTTTCGAATTTATGTAGAACAATTTGATTTACAGATGGCCAAATTCGCATTCAGCGTTATGACCATAGTGCAGAGAATGAATCTTACCAATCGATTCAAATAATCTGAGATGTGAAAAAACTAATAATGTATACAAAAAATTCTTGACAACTTTGATAATTCAATGATTTTATTATTATTATATTTTGTACTGTATTGTATTATTGTAACGAATAAAACATTTAACATACATCGTCGAATTATTGTTTTACCTTATTGAGCCAAAAAATATAATCTACAGATCTGATTAGGAATATGTATACTCGATTATTGTTTTGATTTTTTAATCCGCTTTAAATATATGAAAATAGCAATGTTCAAATTTTAAGAAGAGTCACAGAAAATGTAAGCAGTCTGCTGGAATATATTTTAAGGTTTTCTTTTTCATATTCTTATATAGCATTCTAGACAATACTCAAGTTCTCTATTTCTTCTTAATTTAATGCACCATATATATTCTAAGTTCGAAGCCCACGTGCCCATCCAGCATATTCAATGTGTGAGCGACGCCTTTTGTTTCTGATTGACGTTTCTAGCCCTCCAATTCGGTATTGATAATTATACAGCCAATGCCAACTGAGGGACACCTTCGCAGCTGCTGTCAATCCCAGTGATATCCTTAAGTCGTATAAAAGCTAACCATTATTCGTATAGACCTCAGTTGCTTTCACAATGACCGGAATATTCAGACAAATTCATCCAGCTCCGCTTGTGGTTCGCATACGCTCCAGAGAGTGTTGCAGCTATTTGTTTCGGGCTCTGAAGTTCTTGGGCTGGATGCCACCTAAGCAGGGTATTCCACGTTACTTACACCTGCTCTATACTTGCTTCTTTTTCTACTTTCCATTGATATATGGACCGTTGGGTTTGCTTCGAGGACTCATTAGTAATTTAAAGAGCTTTAGTCCTGGAGAATTTCTGACTTTGTTGCCGCTCGATATAAATAGTCTTGGTGTGTCCATTAAGAGTTTTATTTTATACATATACATGACGCGTGTGTACGAGACATTATCGACTCTAGATGATCTGGATGAGCGACTAAAAAATGACAGCGATCGTAGGAAGATCCACGCAGCTGTGGCTAGATCAAATTACATATTTTTCGTTTATGCTCAACTTTATCTATCTTATACGGTGTCTGTCTTTATCATTGGAGTATTAAATGGGCATCCGCCGTGGCTGATCTACAATCCGATCTTTGATTGGCGCGATAGTGTTGGAAATTTTTGGCTGCAGACGATCTTTGAGTATCTTGTGTTCCTATTTCAGACGACGTTAGCTTTAATTAGTGACACATACACGATTGTGCTCCTAGTAAACTTTCGAGCTCATATCGATGTTCTCAAGGACCATATTCGCAACCTGCGCACCGACCCTCAACAGACAGAGAAAGAGAATTACGATGAGTTGGTCTCTAACATTATTTATCACAAATTAATCCTACGGTAAGTCCATTTATCTTAAATTTGAATTTCCTTTTTGCTATCAACTCCTCTTCACAGATGCTGTAATTTAATGCGTCCAATCATGTCGCAAACCATTTTCGTACAGTTTCTGTTGATTGGCATCGATTTGGGCTTGACTATAATCAATGTGCTATATTTTTCTGGATTATTTCGGGCAATCTCTGCGATCATTTTTGCTGTAGCTGTCTTATTAGAGACCTTCCCAATCTGCTATCCGTGCGATTTATTGGCCAAAGACTGTAAGGAACTATCGAATATTTTATGTCATTCGCACTGGATCGACGCTGAACCCAAATACAAATCCGCACTCAAATTCTTTATGCACAATCTGCAACAACCGATTGACTTTAAAGCTGGCGGTATTTTTGCCATATCATTGAACAGTAATATTCAGGTGGGTAGATAAGTTGAAATTAAATATGAAAATAAATGATGGGTTAATTTTAAATCACTTTCAATCTACAGGTGGCCAAGTTTGCGTTCAGTGTAATGGCTATAGTTAAGCAAATGAATTTGGCTAATCGATTTAAATAAATATTGGAATTTCCGAGCTGATCACACATAATTTTCCTAATATATATTTGTAACCATCCATTATAATGACAATGACAATGACAATGACAATGACAATGACAATGACAATGACAACGACAATGACAATGACAATGACAATGACAATGACAATGACAATGACAATGACAATGACAATGACAATGACAATGACAATGACAAGGACAATGACAATGACAAGGACAATGTAACCTTCAAATATAAATGGAATACAACCTGTCAAACTAAGCAGGCGCCTGATGATCATTGTGCAGCAAAACAATCTAGCCAATCCATTCAATAATGTAGAATTATACGCTATTAATCTCATAATAAATTGGTTTGAGCACATTGATTATTTAAAGACTTAATTATAAATTATGTAGATCTACTCTTTTATGAGTTTATTTTTCTTGTATTCATTGATATAGACTACAAAGTTTAGATAGGAGTCTGATAACTGAGAGTGCCTGACTTGGAGATACTCAGCGGTATCCTTATATCATATAGTATCAACCTTATTTTCCAATTGTTACATTTTTGATCAAAGTACACGAAAATAAATATAATCTAAATTTAGTTTGTATTACAGATAGCCACGTACTCATGCAGCATATTCAATGTGTGAGCGTCGCCTTTTGTTTCTGATTGACATTCATATCCCTCAAATTCGCTATTGATTATTACACAGCCAATGCTAAATGATGGACACCTTAGCAGCTGCTGCCAATCCCAGTGATATCCTTAAATCGTATAAAAGGTAACCAATATTCGAATGGACCTCAGTTGCATTCACAATGTCCAGAATATCCAGACTAATTCATCCAGCTCCGCTTGTGGTTCGCATACGCTCCAGAGAGTGTTGCACTTATTTGTTTCGGACTCTAAAGTTCTTGGGCTGGATGCCACCTAAACAGGGTATCCCACGTTATTTATACATGCTGTATTCTTGCTTCTTTTTCTACTTTCCATTGATATACGGACCATTCGGCTTGTTTCGAGGTCTCATTGGTAATTTAAAGAACTTTAGTCCTGGAGAGTTTCTGACTTTGCTGCCGCTAGACGCAAACGTACTAGGAGCGTCCATTAAGAGTTTTATCTTGCACATGTACTTGACGCGTGTGCACGAGACATTATCGACTCTAGATGATCTGGATGAGCGACTACAAAATGACAGCGATCGTAGGAAGGTCCATGTAGCAGTGGCCAGATCAAATTACATATTTTTCGTTTATGCTCAACTTTATCTATCCTATATGCTGTCTGTCTTCATGGTGGGAGTGGCAAATGGACATCCACCTTGGCTGATCTACAATCCGTTCTTTGATTGGCGCGATGGAACTGGATGCTTTTGGCTGCAGACGATTTTTGAGTATCTTGTGATGATATATGTAACGACGCTGGTTTTAATTAGTGACACATACACGATTGTGCTCCTAGTAAACTTTCGAGCTCATATCGATGTTCTCAAGGACCATATTCGCAACCTGCGCACCGACCCTCAACAGACAGAGAAAGAGAATTACGATGAGTTGGTCTCTAACATTATTTATCACAAATTAATCCTACGGTAAGTCCATTTATCTTAAATTTGAATTTCCTTTTTGCTATCAACTCCTCTTCACAGATGCTGTAATTTAATGCGTCCAATCATGTCGCAAACCATTTTCGTACAGTTTCTGTTGATTGGCATCGATTTGGGCTTGACTATAATCAATGTGCTATATTTTTCTGGATTATTTCGGGCAATCTCTGCGATCATTTTTGCTGTAGCTGTCTTATTAGAGACCTTCCCAATCTGCTATCCGTGCGATTTATTGGCCAAAGACTGTGAGGAACTATCGAATATTTTATGTCATTCGCACTGGATCGACGCTGAACCCAAATACAAATCCGCACTCAAATTCTTTATGCACAATCTGCAACAACCGATTGACTTTAAAGCTGGCGGTATTTTTGCCATATCATTGAACAGTAATATTCAGGTGGGTAGATAATTTGAAATTAAATATGAAAATAAATGATGGGTTAATTTTAAATCACTTTCAATCTACAGGTGGCCAAGTTTGCGTTCAGCGTTATGGCTATAGTTAAGCAAATGAATTTGGCCAATCGATTTAAATAAATATTGGAATTCCCGAGCTGAACACACATAATTTTCCTAATATAATAATAATAATAATGACAATGTAACCCTCAAATATAAATGGAATACAACCTGACAAACTCAATAGCCGCATGATGATCATTGTGCAGCAAATGAATCTGGCCAATTCGTCAAATAATGTTGAATTATAATCGATAATTCTCATGAATATAAATTGATTTGAGCACATTGATTGTTCAAAGACATAATTTTTATTGTAGTCCGTACGATGAAGTATAAATTCTGTAGACGTACTCCATATATGATTTTATTTTTTATGTATTTATAGATATAGGGCTACAAAGTCTAGATAGGAGTCCGATAACTGAGAGTGTTTGACTTGGAGATACTCAGCGGTATCCTTATATCATATAGTGCCAACCTTATTTTCCAATTGCTATAATTTGGATCAAAGTATTCGTAATCTAATCTAAAATTAGTTTAAATTTTTAGTTTGTAAAGCCAAATACTCATGTAGCATATTCAATGTGTGAGCGACGCCTTTTGTTTCTGATTGACATTCCTAGCTCTTCAATTCAGTATTGATAATTATACAGCCAATGCCAATTGAGGGACACCTTCGCAGCTGCTGTCAATCCCAGTGATATCCTTAAGTCGTATAAAAGCTAACCATTATTCGTATAGACCTCAGTTGCATTCACAATGACCGGAATATTCAGACTAATTCATCCAGCTCCGCTTGTGGTTCGCATACGCTCCAGTGAGTGTTGTACCTATTTGCTTCGGACTCTAAAGTTCTTGGGCTGGATGCCACCTAAGCAGGGTATTCCACGTTATTTATACATGCTGTATTCTTGCTTCTTTTTCTACTTTCCATTGATATACGGACCATTCGGCTTGTTTCGAGGTCTCATTGGTAATTTAAAGAACTTTAGTCCTGGAGAGTTTCTGACTTTGCTGCCGCTAGACGCAAACGTTCTAGGAGCGTCCATTAAGAGTTTTATTTTGTACATGTACATGACGCGTGTGCACGAGACATTATTGACTCTAGATGATCTGGATGAGCGGCTAAAAACCGACAGCGATCGTAGGAAGGTCCATGTAGCAGTGGCTAGATCAAACTACATATTTTTGGTATATGCTCAACTATATCTATCTTATACGGTGTCTGTCTTCGTGGTCGGAGTGGCAAATGGACATCCACCTTGGCTTATCTACAATCCGATATTTGATTGGCACGATGGAGCTGGATGCTTTTGGCTGCAGACGATCTTTGAGTATATTGTGTTGATATATGTGACTTCGGCGGCTTTAATTAGTGACACATACACGATTGTGCTCTTAATAAACTTTCGAGCTCATATCGATGTTCTCAAGGACCATATTCGCACGCTACGCACCGACCCTCAACAGACAGAGAAAGAGAATTACGATGAGTTGGTCTCTAACATTATTTATCACAAATTAATCCTACGGTAAGTCCATTTATCTTATATTCTAATTTCCCTTTTGCTATCAACTCCTCTTCACAGATGCTGTAATTTAATGCGTCCAGTCATGTCGCAAACCATTTTCGTACAGTTTCTGTTGATTGGCATCGATTTGGGCTTGACTATAATCAATGTGCTATATTTTTCTGGATTATTTCGGGCAATATCTGCGATCATTTTTGCTGTAGCTGTCTTATTAGAGACCTTCCCATTCTGCTATCTCTGCGATTTATTGGCCAAAGACTGTGAGGAACTATCGAATATTTTATGTCATTCGCACTGGATCGACGCTGAACCCAAATACAAATCCGCACTCAAATTCTTTATGCACAATCTGCAACAACCGATTGACTTTAAAGCTGGCGGTATTTTTGCCATATCATTGAACAGTAATATTCAGGTGGGTAGATAATTTGAAATTAAATATGAAAATAAATGATGGGTTAATTTTAAATCACTTTCAATCTACAGGTGGCCAAGTTTGCGTTCAGCGTTATGGCTATAGTTCAGCAAATGAATTTGGCCAATCGATTTAAATAAATATTAGACAAATAATAATAGCAGTAACACCTCCGCGATTCCCGAAGTAAACACATATTTAATTTCCCTTGTGTTGTAGCCCCATCCACTATAATGACAATGGTAATGTCAAGAGTTACTCTTTGATAACGACAATGACGCTGGCAATTATAACTCTGCAACCTATACATATATTTCTGAAGGGTTTTTTCTCATGCCATTGATCATGCTTATGAAAATAAATAATAAAAAATGTGCTTATTATTCAAAGATCTAATAATTGTTGTCGAATTAGTCTTTAAAGAAGTTTATTTTTAGTGTATTCCCAGATATAGGTTGCCAATTTGAAGTCAAAGTCTAATTAAAAGG